CTTCTGCCACTGCCCTAAAATCTTGGCTGCGTGCCCATACTCAACAGGCAGGTAGCCGCGCAACCAGTTTGCGCAACCCAAAAATTGCTGAATGTGAAGTTTCTCCCAGAGCGGGGGAAAGTCAATCACCGCCTGACAACGCTCTTCGTCAGGCGAACTCCCGTCCCGCCCAATGTTGTGTCCCAGGAGCTTGCCTTTGGAGACACAAACTTCGGCCTTGCTGATTCCAAAGGAGAACCCAAACAAGATTGACTTATCTAGGAAACCCTCTAAGGAAACGAGGTGGTCGAGGAGGTGCGGGCACGCTTTAGGGTGCCGGGCGCGCATATCTGCCGCGAGCTTCTCATAATAGTAGTCCGTTGGGGGCTCTTCGATCATCTTCTCGATGTCCCAGCTCTCCACGATATGATAGCTCGGGCAGCGCGCCGTATCGACCGCGTCTGCTGGGCGCACAGCATCACTTGCGCCTCTTCCAGCCGTGGCCGATCCCTCACGCCAGCCAGCCCAGCGTGGCCCCTTGCGCGTCCTAAAGACCGCGAGGCGTTCGGTGACGGGAACTTCATCGCTACACGCAACGCTTTCCGCCACACGCAAATCCCTCGTGTCCCAGAGACGCCACGCCTCACCTACGCGCTGAAGCAAGCACGTTTCGTAAGGCGCCTTCTCGACCGCCAGAGTCCCGAGGTCCTTCTGCGCAGGGCGCCTACCCCACACAGACGCGTAACCACCAGGCGCCTCCCACCAGCTGTCGACGCTTGGAAGGTGGTCCAAGCAAGTAAGCACTCCAGGCTCCTCAACAGGGAACCGGGCCGCTCCCGCCCCACACCGAAGCGAGAACAGTCACCGCAGCAAGGACCGATAGCACACCGATCCTGGCGCCGGTACGCAGCCGCCCAAAGGACCGCGCACACGAGGAACAACCTTGGAAGCTTCTTGCCGCGGCCCTGGACGCGGACCCGCAAGCAAAGCACGGGTCGTGGTCAACCGAGGCAACGGCGACCCCACAATCCGCACATACCTGCGGAGACGGCTCCGACTCGAAAACCGTCTCAACCGCGCCACAACCACAGGCCGCAGTGCTTACGAGGCCGGAACGCACTTCCGCAACAACCTCGCCCAGCTGAAAGGGAGAGAGTGATCACACTCTTGGGCTGCGAGCAACACAAACCCTTTTCCCTCTCCTGTGGGCCAAAGGCCTGGTACGGCCTCGACCCCGCACTCCACCGGAAGCACTACCTCGGACAGGGATCCCTCTGCGGAGACTCCTTGCTCCCGCACGACAGGCACCAGCACCCCGTCGCCTGGCGAGAGCTCGAGAGGCTCTTCCCCGTCGTAGCGGAGGAGCTCCCGGCTTCCGCCCCCAGGCTCGGTGCATGACGCGTCGTCCAGGCTCGACAACCGCGCTTCGAAGGCGTAGGCCCTGTCCTTCCGGGTCTTGCTGTGATCCTCGCACCTGGGCATCCTGATTCCCAGCGTGTCGAGGACGTGAAAGTCGGGACCCGGCCTGAAGCCCAGGCCCATCCTTCCGGCGCAGTCCAACGCTCTGCCGCCGAGGATCAGTCCGTGCCAATCGGACGTCCCCCTGGCTGCGATTTTGCATCGCACGAAAATTTCAGTGTTGGGGCGACAGTCGTCCGCCGTCCTGCCTTCCAGCAGCGTGACGCGCAAGACTGCTGCCCCCTTCAGAGGAACGGGGGCTCCCGAAGCAATGCCATGCACATATTCGGGGTGGACCCACTTCTCGAGTCTCACGACCGGGAAGCCGGGATCTTCGGTACCGATCCCCAGCTCTGCAGCCCGGTTCATCATGCCCACCACAAGTTCCTCGGTCACGTGGTTTGCGCCGGCGCATCCGTCGAGCATGCACTCGACCTTACGGTCGAGCACCTGGACTACCGTTCTGTACTGGTAGCCTCCTGGCTCGTTGTCCGCCAGGTTCCACCAGTCCTTCGGCAGATCGTCCAGGGTGGCGAACTTGTCCCGCCCGCCCTTGCTCAACGGAAGCGCGTGCTGCTGCACCGCGGCGCGTCCTGCGGCTCCTGAGACGCCTGCCTGGACGCCTGAGCTGCCTATCTGGACACTGAACGCGGCGAAGGGGTTGGACATGGAAGCACCGGAGGGCGCGGCCCAGTTGGCAGGCAAGGCCGGCGTCCCTCCTGAGGTCGTCAGGTTGTGGACCATGTCGCAGCTGGCTCCTTTCTTGCACGACCCATTCTTGGAGAAAAAGGGGCAAACAGTGCCTGGTGGCTTTGCCGCGCCTTTGGCCGCAGCCTTAGGCTTTGCGCTGGCCTTAGCCTTGCCACCTCCCTTCCCCTTGCCCTTACCTTTCGCAGTGGCAAAGGTTTGGTCACCCTTCTTGGCCGCGAGAGCTTTTCTGCGGAGCTCCTTGTCGTGGCTGTACGGGCAGGCATCCCCTTTCGGGCAATTCCCGTGGTCGCGAAAGTGGAAGCAGATCTTCTTGTCCGTTCCTTTGCCAGCTCCCTTCGACGCAGCGGCAAACGTCTGATCCGCGCCAGCCTTGGCCGCGGCAGCTGCTCCCTTCGCAGCAGCCTTAGCGGCGGCCTTGAGGCTCCGAATCTCCTTCTGAGCCTCGGCTAGCGCGACCGACGGGTCCGCGCTTGGAGAGCCGGTCGTGGAGTACACAGAGTGGGAAACAGCCCGGTGCGCTGCTTCCCTCTGTTCGTACTCCAAGACGACTTTGTGGCTCTCCTCCCAAGTCTGCGGCCCTCTCAGCCCGCCGTCCTTGGGATCGCCGGGCCACAACCGCTTGTCGTTACGTATCTCCTTTTGGAGATACGGGGGCATCTTGCGGAGGTACGAGAGATACAACTCTCGTGGGGTCTTCCCAAGACCCACCGCCTCAAGGTCCGCGATCGACGCCTCAAACAAAGGCTCGAATTGGTGGCCTGTGAGCTTGCCCTTAGCGAGGGAGGCATGCTCACCATCCACGCGGACTTCTCTTTCCTCCCGCGATTCCCCGAACATCAAGTGCTTGTTCTTGATGCGGTCGTACACTGCCTGTGGGTCGGAGAGAACCTCTCCCGACTTCCACGCTGCGCGGTAGGCGTTCGTGTACGTCTTCATGCGCGAGCCGCGGCAGCGCCCGCGTAGCGCTAGCAGCTTCTCGCGCGCACTCATACCGCGACAGTTGTTGGCGAGCGCGCAGACGTCCTCGAACTCCTCGTAGAACAGGACAACGTCTCGCGCGTCCGACTTGTCGTCGGTCAGCGTCGGCCACGTGAGGTCAGTTTTGACCGTCGTTATGGAGCTTTGCCCGCCCCTCTGCGCTAACGCTTCTTTCAGCGCTTCAGTTTGGGCGGCGAGTGCGGCGGCGAAATCGCCCGCCGGGTTTTGGGACCCGGTCTGCGAACCTCCGCCGTCTGAACCTCGCTTCAGGGCTTCTATCTCCATCTCCAGCGCCGCGAGCTTTGCGCGCAAAGGGGAATCGCCGTCCGTCGCGCCCAGGTCACGGGCCGCGGAAGGACCACCTGCAACCTCGGCAGTGTGTAAACCTCCACGGTCCAAACCTACCCCCAACCCACTTGCAGTCGCAGGCTGTGGGAGCCCTGGGGAACGCGGCCCCACGGCTTCAACTGGCACATCGGACGGGGAGCTCCAAACCTTCTCTTGGCTCGAGCTTTCTTTTCCCCCTAGCGCGAGGATAAGCTCCCCGATGCATTGGATTTCACGCTGAATCTCCTCTGCGTCTTCGGGGTCCTCGCCACCGCGCAAAGCCGCGACCGAGAACCTGGTCCGCAGCCGACGGACCATCTTTGTCGGATGCCAGTCCCCGCCTATCTTCGAGAACTCATCCGCAAGGAGGGTGGCTTTGGTGCTTAAGGCGTCAAGGTCACGGGAGCTCACCGTGACTCCATGCGCTTTGAGCGCGAGGACAATCCGCGAAACGCGCGTCAAGTAGTCCGCGACCGGTTCTTGGTCTGGACGGAAAATCGCGCGCAGCTCCGCCTGCAAGCCCTCTGCGGTGCCTGGCACTGAACCTGCTGTCGACGGCGGACCGGACGGTCCCGCCGGGCGGGACCCTGGTGCCGTAGCAGGGACATAGGCAGCACCGGTAGGGACCATGGCCAGCTCCCTAGCCGCGGCGCTGACGTCCACCCGCGGCGGACTGTCGCCTCCAGCGCCCGAGGCCTCAGGGACTAGCTCGGAGTCCTCTTCTTCTTCCTCTTCCTCCTCGTCCTCGCCTTCGGCGTCGTGGAGGAACTTCATGACCTTTCGCCAGAGAGCCGCCTCCTGCTCTGGCGTTGTGCTAACCCCATCCCGCTTGGACAGCGGACGACTGCCGGTCTCCCTACGCCACTTAAGCCAAGCGACGTAGCTCATCCGCTCGGGATAGGGAACGTCACCACCCTCGATCGCTTCGAGGAGGGTGACGCCCTCGGCCTGACCTGCAACCTCTGCGGACATCGCCGCGCCTTGGTTAGCAGGCCGCAGGCGTGGCACACGAAGCGCCGCGCCTTGGTTAACAGGCCGCAAGCGTGGCACACAGTCCACGCGTCCAGGTCACGGACCGCGACAGACAAGCAAAGCAATGCTTGCCCACTCGGGCCGTAGGCACAAGAGCTGTACGTTCCCAGAACAGCCCCCAATTGTGAAGTCGACCGGCACTGGACTTGCACTAAGCCAATGCAATCACAGCCCGGTCACGCTGTTTTACGACTTCGCGAGTTCAAGCACTTGTGCGGCTACGCCTGAGTGCGTCCGGTCGGACCGCACAGCAACCTAAGAGCTACTGTACGAAACTACCGTGCTCAAAGGCACAAGCTCGGTACTTGAGCCAAAATATTGGCATTGTTACGAATTGCAAAACTACGCATGCAAAGGAAAACTACTACAGTACTGGCCCTGGCAGCTTTGCACATGCAGCGTGCGTGCATAGACCTGCACACAATATGTGTACACCTATCTTAGAGCATAGTATAATATAGTTCCATACAGTCATATAATACAGTATTAACTCGTATAAAGACATGAGATCCACGTCAATTCGCAGTTAGACTCAGCAAAAGCTCCGCGATAGCCTTGGAGAGAAACCCTGGGAGCCCCGAGCCTGCCTCGGTCCCGGCAGACCCGAAGCCGCCCCATTCCAGTTGATCTGGGTCAGCGAGGAGTTGACTTTGATGGCTCCGGCCAGCGCCTGGCGACAACCTCAGGGCCTCAGAGACTTGGCTAAGGAACTGAGAAACAGATGAATTAGTTGGTGCAAGAGCTGCAGCAGAATTACAAGGGGTATATTTAACTCACATCAGTCGGGTAAACTAACTACGCATCACCCCATTGTGGACGCTCCAGGAGAAAATAAAACGCATCAGCGGCGAGAATGCACATCAACGTATGCAAAACCCCTAAAACCCCAATGTGGTCGCTGCACGTCGGTCTCAATGCGTGAGAGCTCAAAACTCACGATACCTGGTGGACGCTGATGTGTTGCACGTTTAAAGAGTTTTTACAACAGTCTGAAGTGCCGGTTAGCAGCAAATCCCCAAGGAGATCAACCGCTCAGAGTCTCAGAGACCGAACGAGCGATTCCCTTAATGTGGACGCTCCCCACAAATCGAAAACAAGAACCTTCTGCTCAACCCTAAACCCACCATCTGCAGAAGAGATGCCGTCTTCCGGAGCTGCGCGCACACCCTCTGGAGCCCCCGCTGGAGAACTCCACCAAGCTGCCTAAAGGGTGCCAGGCGGGGCCCTCCCCAGGAGCAGCCAAAGGAGCGCGTCGGGCTGCGAGCTGTTGGCCAGCTCCTCTTTTTGCCGTTTTCAGGGTTTTGGGTTTGGGGTTCAGGTTTTTAGGCTTCAGGGTTAGGGTTTTGGTATGCTGCAGGCCTTGGAATCTTAAAAAGGAGGAATACCAGACGGTGCCAACAGAGTCGAAACGATCTAGCTCCTCCAACTCTCGCACATTCAGGAGCCGCAGAGCTGCTTCCAGGTCTTGGCCATGGGCCTGCACGGGAAACCTCTCTTCGAGAGCTCTCTTCGCGGCAGCCAGGATGGGCTGGGCCGCCAGGGCTTCAGCATCGGAAAGCATCACCTATACTCCCCTTAGGACCTTAATGGACATAATATTTTTGATCTCCTCTTGGGTTTTAGATACACAAAAATAAAAAGAAAATTCCCAAGGGGGATATAGTCACGAAGAGAGGGGGCTGAGGGGGAGCTTGCGGAAGGTCCAGCAGTACGGCGGTACTGGACAGGGCCGCCTTCCAAAGAATGCAAGAAACGACCCGCGACACAGGCAACATGCAACTTGTCCCAATCTTGCAGCCAAGCGTCGTCCGGCGTGGTCTCAACTAGAGCGGGCTGCCGGTCAGCATTTGGAGGAACTGCCTTTTCCCAGCAATGCAAGAAACGCCCCGCGACACAGGCAACACGCAACTTGTGCCAATCTTGCAGCCAAGCGTCGCCCGGCGTGGTCTCAACTGGAGCGGGCTGCCGGTCAGCATTTGGAGGAACTGCCTGTTCCCAGCAATGCAAGAAACGCCCCGCGACACAGGCAACACGCAACTTGTCCCAATCTTGCAGCCAAGCGTCGTCCGGCGTGGTCTCAACTGGAGCGGGCTGCCGGTCAGCAATTGGAGGAACTGCCTGTTCCCAGCAATGCAAGAAACGCCCCGCGACACAGGCAACACGCAACTTGTCCCAATCTTGCAGCCAAGCGTCGTCCGGCGTGGTCTCAACTGGAGCGGGCTGCCGGTCAGCAATTGGAGGAACTGCCTGTTCCCAGCAATGCAAGAAACGCCCCGCGACACAGGCAACACGCAACTTGTCCCAATCTTGCAGCCAAGCGTCGTCCGGCGTGGTCTCAACTGGAGCGGGCTGCCGGTCAGCAATTGGAGGAACTGCCTGTTCCCAGCAATGCAAGAAACGCCCCGCGACACAGGCAACACGCAACTTGTCCCAATCTTGCAGCCAAGCGTCGTCCGGCGTGGTCTCAACTGGAGCGGGCTGCCGGTCAGCAATTGGAGGAACTGCCTGTTCCCAGCAATGCAAGAAACGCCCCGCGACACAGGCAACACGCAACTTGTCCCAATCTTGCAGCCAAGCGTCATCCGACGTGGTCTCAACTGGAGCGGGCTGCCGGTCAGCATTTGGAGGAACTGCCTTTTCCAAGCAATGCAAGAAACGCCCCACGACACAATCAACACGACTTGTCCCAATCTTGCAGCCAAGCGTCGTCCGGCGTGGTCTCAACTGGAGCGGGCTGCCGGTCAGCATTTGGAGAAACTGCCTTTTCCAAGCAATGCAAGAAACGCCCCGCAACACAGGCAACACGCAACTTGTCCCAATCTTGCAGCCAAGCGTCGCCCGGCGTGGTCTCAACTGGAGCGGGCTGCCGGTCAGCATTTGGAGGAACTGCCTTTTCCCAGCAATGCAAGAAACGCCCCGCGATACAGGCAACACGCAACTTGTCCCAATCTTGCAGCCAAGCGTCGTCCGGCGTGGTCTCAATCAAAACGTGCTGCCGGTCAGCATTTGGAGGAACTGCCTTTTACCAGCAATGCAAGAAACTTCAAGAAACGCCCCACGACACAGGCAACACGCAACTTGTCCCAATCTTGCAGCCAAGCGTCGTCCGGCGTGGTCTCAACTGGAGCGGGCTGCCGGTCAGCATTTGGAGGAACTGCCTTTTCCCAGCAATGCAAGAAACGCCCCGCGACACAGGCAACACGCAACTTGTCCCAATCTTGCGGCCAAGCGTCGTCCGGCGTGGTCTCAGTTGGAGCGGGCTGCCCAGGCTGCTCTGCAAGTTTCCGCCGACCAGGGATTGGAGGATACATCGCTGCTTCTGCACCTGAAAGGATCCAAGCAAATATAAACAAATGCAGGACCGCAGTCCCAGCGAAAAGAACAGTTAACATCGCTGCAAGACCTTCCAGACCTGCTTGCGCCTGCCGCGACAGCTGGCTCTAGAACCCTAAACCCTAAATACCCTAAACCCTTTTGCCCGAAACCCGAAACCCGAAACCCTAAATCCTAAACCCTAACCCGAAACCGGAAGCCTTGGGCGAGCCTGACTTCAGATACCGTCATACAACCGGTGCTGATAGTAGCGCTTTGTCAAACAACTGCTGCTACTCAGCTACTCTTGTTGCCAGGGGGACCTTTGCAATTCGCATCTTCCCCACAACCCCAAACCTCCCTGACCTATACCCTAGAGTTAAGCCCTAACCGTCAACCCCAAAAACTCCTATAAACCTAAGACAAAACTCGAAACCATCCGTCCTCCAACTGAGCTAAGCGTGGCTTGAGGAAAACTCTGAGCCTTGGGCCTTCATGCATGCCAGGCTTGCCATGTCGTCCCATTTCGTTCTGCACCTTACGTCGTTCGAGGACCGGTGGACTAGGGGCGTGAGACCAGGACTGGCCGCCGGCAGGGGCGGACCGGCCCAACATGGCGTTTTGGGGGGGGGGGGGGGGGGGTGTTCGAGGTCAGAGAAATACGCCGAGAGCTCACTTGTCATCTGGGGTGGGTTTAGGAGCCACCTGGCCAAAGCCAAGCACCCACCTTAGAGCACTCCCTGGCCCCAGACAGACCCTTGTAGGGCGAGGTGGAGAGGCTGGTTCCCTGCATCATCAACATCAGAGCAGGCTATTTCCGTACGCACACGCGACGAAGATGCGAGGGTCCAACCAAGGACGACGGTTGCGAGAATGGCGACGACGACACCCGCCTTGCCTTTGACGGATGACACTTTTGACACAGGACGAAGGTCCACGGCACGCTGCGCACACTAACGGTTCAATCACGATGCCGATTTGGAGGATGGTGACTCCGAAGGTCTCCGGCGTCTGCTACGAGCCTGCCTTCCGCTTGCGCTGCACCTTCTGCAATCTTTTGTGCAGCTCTCCTACAAGTTCTGGGTGGTCTTCGCGACACCCTGCGCTGTTCAGACCCCTAGAGAGAGGGACAGAGAAAGGGGAGAGAGAGAGAGAGAGAGAGAGCGAGGAGAGAGAGAATGAGAGAGAGCGAGAGGAAAGAGAGAGAGAGAGAGAGATAGAGATAGAGACAGAGACAGAGACAGAGACAGAGACAGAGAGGACAGAGAGGACAGAGAGGAGAGAGAGGAGAAAGAGGAGAGAGAGGAGAGAGAGGAGAGAGAGAGAGAGAGGGAGAGGGAGGGGCAGAGGGACAGGCAGAGGGAGAGGCAGAGGCAGATGGAGAGGCAGAGGCAGAGGGCAGAGAGAGACAGAGACAGAGGCAGAGGCAGAGGCAGAGACAGAGACAGAGACAGAGACAGAGACAGAGAGATCTGGCTCGGAATAGCTGCGTAGCCGAGGCCAGCGCCCGCTGCCACTGCCGCAGCAGCTCGAGGGGCTTGGCATGTCGGATTACCTCCGGCCCCACGCAAGACTGTGCATCCCCTCTTCCTTCCCCCTTCTCTCCCATTCTCTCCCCCATCGAACCTCGGGTGCAATGTCCTTGCGCTTCGCGAGGCCATCTCGGAGGTGAAGCCAGCGGAGGCGCTCCGCGGCGAGCACAGGTTGCAGCTCCCGGCGCCGCTTCGAGATCGCCAGCAGCTTGGCCGCCTGCGAGGCTCCGTAGCCTTCCTCGATGCTCAGCAGCCGAAGCCAGCCATCGACGTCCGAAGGGTCTGGTTGTCCAACGCGGATCACAGCCAACATGTCCTCACCCACATGGGGCCCACATCCCTTTCCACTATTGTTCCAGTCCCCATGGCCCTCCCCCACGGGCCCTCCCCCACGGGCCCTCCCCCACGGGTCTCCCTGGCACGGGTCCTCCCAAGCAACCTTCAAGGCGGCCATCTTCTTGCGCAGCCGCACGAGGATCGCGAGGTCCTTGTTGGCCTCCCCCAAGTGAATGCTTGGGGTAGCTTAGGGTTCTTATGGCTTTAGATTTTAGATGGCTGAGGCTTGCCCAATGTTGTCCAGCCAGCACCTCCTCTTCGCGCTAAGGCGCCTAAGGGATGCCCAAGCCTTGTAGGGGTTGGGTCCGGCCCACGGTGGCCAAAGAAAGAGACATGGAACCTACTCAGACCACAGATGGGGTTGATCCAATTTATGTGCCCTTTTCGGTACCCTAAACGGTAAGGAACATAGGATATGATAAACCCCAGACAGGGCCCTAAATTTTGATATCAACTCCCAGATGCAAGACCACATCCTCAACAGGGTTTAGGATTTAGGGTTTAGGGTTTAGGATTTAGGGTTTAGGGTTTAGGGTTTGGGGTTTGGGGTTTGGGGTTTGGGGTTTGGGGTTTGGGGTTTGGGGTTTGGGGTTTGGGGTTTGGGGTTTGGGGTTTGGGGTTTATGCTCTGGGCCTCGAGATCTTCAGCGAAGGTTGTTGGATTGTTTACCCATTGGGCGACTTTGTCTGAGCCGTTGCAGCCACTTGTGCTTTTCATCAGGAGGAGAAGCGCAAACAAGTCCCCGATCATCAGGTGCGACTGCTCCAAGAAGGTGAGGAGAGGCCTGTACTTGCTGTACTTGCTGTCCTCGCTGGCCTCGTTGGCTTCGTTGGCTTCCTTAGCCTTGCGGAGTTCCGCAAACACCTCAAAGGCCTTGACCTTCTCGGGAGGCTCCTTCATGAACAGCTGCAACTCGTCTTGGCTGGCCAAAGGCACCAACGCCTCCAAATCCAACTTGGACTGGAAGCCTTGCTTGCTTGCAGCCTTCCGGATCTGCTCTTGGCATTTCACCAGCAAGCACGCCAAAAGGGGCTGCAGGGCCTCGACCTCTGCGACCTCTGGACGCGAATGGAAGAAGGCCTGGAGCACTGGGCCGGCGTCGACCAGGTTCAGCTGTTTCAGCTGCTCCATGTACCTAAGAATTCAGTCCAGCTCAATCTCTTGTGACTATTTGTGAATTACGAAGTGAAACAGCACAGCCCTTCTCTAAGGTCTGGCTATCTCTAGCTCTCTTTCTTGGGCCCCAGTTGCACATTGGAGATGCCCCGCAGCCCGTTCGCCTTGCACGCAGGGAGTCGGCCCGCAGCACATGCAATGCATGGATTACGAATACACAGGGAAACTCCTAAATTCCGGACCTCTTAGTGGAAACCCTTAAAATCTGCGTCAAAATTCTTTTCTACACTCACAGCGTCGACCACTGAACTTGAAAACAGTTAAGCATGCAAACCCCCGAGATGTGCTCTGAGTCCTGCACGCAGATCGCAGAGCATGCCGAGAGAAACAGTGGCTCGAGGGCCTCTGTTGGGTCGTGTTTGAGGGCTGAGGGCACGGAGGTGTGGACGGTAGAATTCTACACTGACAGGCACACTGGCACATGTGCATGTCATCTTCACAGTGTCTTCTCCCTGTGCTTGCCGTAGTAGGATCCCCGAACTTGCACCAAAAAAGAACCCGATGAGAACTCCGAGCACTCAGGCCTGCAGGTGGTTCGGGAGCAGCGTCAGAATCCGGAAGAGCACCTCCGCCGGCTCCGGGCACCGAGCTCCGCGCGGAGCGTGGTCGCGGTCGTAGAGCACGCGGAGCATCACCTATAGTTCATGGCTGGGAAAGGCCCTCGAAGAGATCTTCAAAGTCATCTTAAGTCATTTTCGTTTGGTTCCCAAAAACAGGTTGTCTGCACCATCAAGAACGAAATTAGAAAGCCTTATGGTTACCCCGACATCATCTAGTCACGTCCACGTAGGCGTCGCCAAGGCCCTGGACCCCGAGCGTTCTCCTCACGGAGCTCCGCCGTGCAGACAACAGGACCTTCTCACATTTTGCTCATATGGGAACAGCATGAGCATGAGATCCATGAGTCGAACTGAGCATCGGACACGTTGTCTTTCAGAAACTCTAGAGCATCATGACAGGGGGGGTTGACTTTTTGCGGGCCAATTACTCAGAACACTGAGCACGCGCTCTCACTCAAGCAGCGAGTCCCGGGAGGGTGGCCGCGAACCGAAAACTTCAGAGAACACGAGCCTTGCCAGAAAAGCGTCGTGACGGAGGGCTGCATGTGCGCAACGGTATGGCATGCACAAGGGCAGCGAGTCCACAATGCTCCCCCAGCTGCACGTCAGAACTTAGCTGCGCTCCGGATGTTTCCGCGAGTCTCCGGGCAAACTCGGCAGAACGGAGGCAGCGGTCACTTGGAAGTCGGCTATACGCAGGCCTCGCTGAGCGGGAACTGCCCCACCTCCCCGGAGACCTCCTGGTCTAAGGCAAAGGTCCCGAGGCACACGAGATCCACCAAATACCGGAGCAGTCTGCCCTAGATTTCCCAGGCATGAAATGGCCAACTCTACCAGGAGCCGAGTATCCCGAAGCAGTGCCTGCAAGTGCATTCGCAGCGCGCAGCATATGAGGAAAAGCAGGCCGAGCAGAGGATACAGCCAAAGGCCGAAGGCCAGGCCAAAGCAGAAAGAGACAGAATCGAGACAGAAGGAGCTCAGGGGCTCCGACACAGCGGCACCAAAACCCACTCGCAATCCCAACCCCAGCTGGCTGAATGCGCATGAACCGAGAACTTCAGAGAATAAAATTTTGGTCAGGCACATTGAAACAGATCTCAGTTGAAAGGCCCGCTTGCATTAAAGGGTGGGGCTGTGCCATCGAACGACAAAGTGAATCGGGCGAAACAGCTCCTTGAGGTTGTGAGTTCTGCTTCGGGGCTTCGGGGATTTGGAGTTTAGAGGGAGGATTCAGAGATGATTTAGGGATTATTTGAGCTTGGGCGATTTCGCGGCACCTTCAGCGTCGTCGCGGGCGTTCGAAAGAGGCTCTCCAGCTGCTCGCTGCTCGCAAGCTCCAGCAGCGGGGCTAAGGGGACATGGACACCCAGCGCACTTAGCTCACCGTGGAAGGCGCCCTCCTGCGCACGGTCAAGAAACATCGAGAAACCGTCCCCAAGCCCCATCCAGAAGCCTCGACCCACCATTCCGGAGCAGCTTTGGTCCTGTTCCAAGCAAAGAAGACTGCCCTTCAAGAGCAGCTCTCGGAGCTTCGGAAGCTCCAGAGGTAGCTCCCCAAACTGCTGCAACATTGGCCGGAGACCTTGGCAATAACAGGCCCACATGGCCAACATGGCCCACACAGCTTAAACGCGGTGAGCATTTGGGACCCCATTTCTTACAGGAAAGCCGCTGGTCAGAGAGATCTTCTGCAGGTGCTCCTTCGATGCTGACTCCAGCTCCAGCTTCGGGTCCGTGTCGAACAGCCTCTCCACCATCGCAGGCCATACGATTTGCAACTGCTGCCTCATCAAACGACGATGACAGGCTGGATGTGATTTACTGAGACTCCTGACAAACTGGTTTGCCTGGTTTGCCAGCGAGCTTCCTGGTGGTTAGTAGGGACTGGGGAATAAGATAACATATATATATATATATGCATATATGGTATATGGTCATCCCCTCCCCCCTTCCCCCAGATCTACACCCTCTTGGTCTACACTACTCTTCTGCTTGCGCCCACGCACTTGTGTACAAGTAGTACACGCCGAAAACACTGTAAATACCAATAAAACCGAGTATTTGCGTGATTATTTTAAACAACACCTCATGCATGCAAAATATGTATAAATCTGCAACCGACTTTCGGTAAAAAAACATATATATATATATATATACATATATGATCTTATATACTCCGAAAAGCCAAAAAACCTGGAAGGTGTAGCAGTCTTGCTGTTGACATATATATATATATGTATATATATATATACATACATATACATATACATACATACCCTTTCGGGGTTACATAATCTGGTACCTTATTGCCCCAGCCCTACTAACCAACGGTACGCGAGACGCCGGGCTGGGCGCCGGGCATCTGCGCATCACACATGTCTTTGACATTGAGCAACGGAATCAGCCTTAGTAGCCCAGTAGCCATATAACAATAAAGGCGCCCTTTGTTTTGGTTGGTTGCTTCATAAGGGAAAACAGAACCAAAAAAAAAGGGTAAAGGGCACCACTGGGCTACCAAGCAGCCAGGTGTGCGGTTTTGCCAGGAGCTCGCCAAGTTGGCTATCCTTGGGGGGGAATTCCGCCTTCAGGAAACTGGCCATCGAAAAGAAGCGGCTGAGGGACGCAACCTCCTGACATCCCGCAGCAGCTCGCGTCGCCACAGAGAGGTCGCCTGCCTCAAATCTGTGGAGCTCCTCGGCGCTTCTTTGGGCGAGGTCCTTTAGCACAGCTTTGTCTGGCTTGGTCCAGAGAACGAAGAGCTTCTCCTCCAGGTCCTGGCAAGGGCAAGTTGCAATGATAACTTTCTGTTGCATGCTGTCGACGCGACTTTCTGATGCTGGGATTTGCTTGGCTGTTACCATCTGTCCTGTTACGGGCCGCAGCGTTTAATCACAGGAAATCACACAAGACTCAAGATTCACCCCGCACCTCCACCTTCAGGGACGCCAGGATCAGTTGCAGTTGCTCGACAGCTCCGACAGCTGCAGTCCATCCCCCTGGCTTCATGGGCTCCGCCATGGCTTCCGCCAGGAGGCAGAGCAGCTGAGCCTTCACAGCCACCTCGAAGCCCTGCACCGGGTCGTGCTCCCAGCGCGCCACAGATTGCAAGGAAGGCAACAGGCTTTCCAGCGTGCTCACCTCCAAGGCCTCTACGACCTTTGCTGTGAGGCTGCCTTCCACGAAGGCAGGACGCGTGCGCAGGGCACGGGAGAACTGGCCGCGCAGCCATCGCCACAGTGGCTCCAGCGCAGACCTCAAGGCATCTCAAAGGAGCTGCAGACCGAACTTCACCGAATAACAAGAATAGTAATAATAATAACAACAAAAATTAATAAAACAAAATAATAATGATAATAGTAAGAATAGTCACAATAGTAATAATACTAAGTAAGAATAATACTTATCATAACAATAATAATGATCATAATCATAATAAGAAGAAGAGGGAGCTGTGCTGAGCCGCGGACAGATGGCGAGCCTCGACCTTCCAGAGCACTGAGAGCAGCAGCGTCCAGGGGTCGCACAGCAGCTGCGCGAGCTCCTGCGCAGGTGGAAAGTGGAATGGTGCGGGATGCTGAGCAAGCAGCCTCTCCTTCGGGAAGGATTCCACGAAGGTAGGGCTGGTAGGATTGCAGGAGACCGCGCTGCCTCAGCTCAGATCGGCCCTCCAACGACCTGGAAAAAAAAACTTGCACGGCGCAGCTCGCGAGGACACGCTCGAGAACACGGACGAGGACACAGGCGAGAACGCCGAGGCGCAGGAGATCAGGGCCTTGACGATGGCGCGGAGGCTCTGCTCGGTGAGGTCGCACTGAGACAGCAACTGCTGCAGGCCCGGACACGCGGAGACGGCCAGGATGATGGCCACATCCCCATGGCTGGCTGCGAAGCGTTCCAAGGTGGCTTTCGGCTCCCTCTGAAAATCCTTGAGGACCTGTTTCAGGTCCGCTACGCTGGCTTGCTGGATCAGGCATTCGATGCAAGCATCTGCCTTCTGGCCGAAGCGCTCTGCAAAGAGAGCTTTCATCCCAAGCACTGCAGCCTTCAGCAAGAGCAGCAGGAAGTCCGGCTTCTGGGGTGATGCTGCAAGCAACTCCCGCAAATACGGCAGGAACCTCTCCAGGCTGCTCTTCTGTAGCTCCGCCCGAAGATCGATCTCCATGCCGAGGCCGATCTCTGGCAATGCAAGCTGGGCCACTGCAGCTGCCCAGACGGGCTCCAAGAGGGACCTGAAACTCTGAAACTTCAGACAAGCAACATGCAGCAGCAGAAAAGGCATCATGGCCAGCACGTCACGTACACACACGCGCGCAGCGCACACGCGCGCAGCGTACACGCGCCACTTGTGAGCAGAACTTGTAAAAGCGGAGCTGAGGCACAGGCGCCTGAGCGGTGGTGAGGTTCCGAAGCAGCGACAACACGAGGGCTGCCGGGTCTGCCAAGTGGCCCTTAAGCATTTTGAGGGTCCTGTCCGGTGTCCCCAAGTGCAGCTGCTGTCCGGCATGCAGGGCCCGCACTAACGCGATCAGGTTCTTGGCCTCCAGGCCATGTCCGCGCAGGCCTTCAGGCAGAAACTCCTCCATGGAAGCTTGCATGGAGAGCTTGGAGACTGCCAAGGTCAGCGCGACGTCCTGGTGTTCCTGGGCCAGCCTCTGGAATACTGCGCCCGGATCGTGACAGGCGCGCTTCAGATCAGCAAGGCTCAAACAATCCAGAACCGAAGGCACGTCGACGTCGACCAGCTCGTTTGGAAGTGACAGCTCTTTTTGCATGATGAAGAGGACGGTTTTCAAGACGAGCGCAGAGCCGCTGGACGTGCCAGAGGCGGCTGCTTCCACCTGCTTTTCGATCTCATAGTGACAGTGCCGATGTGAAATATACTGCAATAATATATATATATATATATATATATACATATATATATACATACATACATACATACATACATACATACATACATACATACATACATACATACATACATACATACATACATACATACATACATACATACAGACATACATACACACATACATACATACATACATACATACATACATACATACATACATACATACATACATAAATAATATATGTATATATATATATATGTATATATGTATAGTGCCCCACTCCCCCCCCCTCCCCCTGCCCAGCTGTCCTTGCCCCACCTGCTACTTGAACACTTGGGTGCCATTGGAGAAAGCTCGGTCCCAAAAAAGCGGGATGATGGGATGCTAGTTGAACACGCTCGGTCCCCAAACTTTGGGTGCTCTTTGAGTACGCTCGGTCCCCAAAAAGCAGGATGCTAGTTGACCACGCTCGGTCCCCAACACTTGGGGGCTATTGGGTCACTGTAGAAGAAAAAACATGTCCCTTAGAGGTTTGTCGTATGTCCGCTCCCTTCGTGCTAGGGTTTGGTGAGGGCCCTAGAAGTTTGTCGCATGTCCCTTCGTGCTCGTAGGGTGAGGGCCCTAGAGGTTACGACAACCGTTTTAAACTGCAAGCGGGTTATGGGGCCACGATTGCGTTACCAGCACGGGCTTTTGGAACCGGTGTAAAATGCAGGCGTACCAGCACAGGCTTTTGGGCGAGAACACTAGCCCTGAAAACGTGTTTTAACGTGTTACAACACCATGGATGTTTCCCTGGCGACCAAAAAGCATGAGCCATTGCGCGAGCTATTTGGTCATCATGGCCCAAATGGGGTGCTAGTTGCTTACGACGTCACCCTACGAGCGCGAAGGGAGGGGACGTACGACAAACTTCGACCAAACCCTACGAGCACAAACGGAGGGGACATACGACAAACCTCGAGAGGATATGTTTTTACTTCTACAGTGTTCTGAAAGTGCGGTCCCCAAAGCTTGGGTGCCATTTGAGTACGCTTGGTCCCCAAAAAGCAGGATGCTGGTTGAACACGCCCGGTCCCCAAAACTTGGGTGTTATTTGAGTGCGCTCGGTCCCCAACGAGCAGGATGCTAGTTGAACACGCTCAGTCCCCAAAACTTGGGTGCTGTTTGGGTACGCTCGGTCCCCAAAAAGCAGGATGCTAGTTGAACACGCTCGGTCCCAAAAGCTTGGGTGCTATTTGAGTATGCTCGATCCCCAAACAGCAGGATGCTAGTTGAACACGCTCGGTCCCGAAGACTTGGGTGCTTTTTGAGTACGCTGAAATTAGCTCGGGCCAGCGACCAGATAGCTCACTTCTGGGGTGTTTTCACGCTCGGGCTTCTACTTTTGGCAGCCAAAGACACAAGCGCCGACCATGAAAAATACCGAGAAAGCGTGTGCGGATTGGTTTCCGGGCATTTGGAAATACAAAGGTTTACAAAGAAGCAAAAACCGTCATGCCTCGGAGCCTCGCGTGGCAAACTTCTCCTTGCAAGTTGGCCATTGTATGGGGGAGAGGGGGGAGTTTGGGCGCGAGATATTTGGTCATGAGGTACGATGAAACCCAAAACCTGTGCTGGTAATCGTGTCTCTATAAGGGTTGTGAATATGCCCCTGCGACCAGTAGGGCGCGTTCGCGAAAAGAGGTGGTTTAAGTACGTTGAGATGTTTATCCCTGTAGATATGCCCCTGCAATCTGCGCTGAAAACTTGTGTTTCAACGTGTTAAAACACCATGGATGTTTCCCCTCCTGCGACCAAATAGCTCGCGCCATGGCGCGAGCTATTTGGTCATCAGGGCGCAGATGGGGAGCCAGTTGCTTACGATGTCACCCTACGAGCGCGAAGGGAGGGGATGTACGACAAACATTTAGGGCCCTCACCAAACCCTACGAGCACAAAGGAATGGGAATGCATCATGTCTATGCCTTTGGGTTCTGACTCATGGTGCTGCATGACATACCTATTCAGGGGCCGGCACTAAAGTATAGGGTAACCCTAATCGCCTGTCAAGTTTTATGCGTTGTTGTTTCACGCGTTTACCCTTTCTCTACAATATTACTGTTTAGTGGTCTTCGCCGGCATAATCCCCATATAAAAAAAACTAAAGAAATGTGTATATATATATATATATACTGTGTATATATATATATATGGTACCCCCCCCCCAAAGATCTAGGTATTTTCATGGTTTTGGGATCTGTTTTAGGGTTTAAGGGTTGGGGGTGGGGGGCTAGCTAAACATGTAAAATTCAATATGGACATGTGAATCTTGATATGTGCGAGTCTTCATATGTGCGTGGTCGTCTTTTCAAATTGTGAGCCCGATTGAAAACGATTGAAACGATTGAAATTCAATCGGAGACCGGATTGAAGATTGAAGATTGAAGATTCCCGGAAACCTTTTTTCTGGGAATCTTCAATCTTCAATCTTCAATCCTGCCCCCGATTGAATTTCAATCGTTTCAATCGTTTTTCAATCGGGCCCCCGATTGAAAAACGATTGAAACGATTGAAATTCAATCGGAGACCGGATTGAAGATTGAAGATTGAAGATTCCCGGAAACCTTTTTCTGGGAATCTTCAATCTTCAATCTTCAATCCGGCCCCCGATTGAATTTCAATCGTTTCAATCGTTTTTCAATCGGGCCCCCGATTGAATTTCAATCGTTTCAATCGTTTTTCAATCGGGTTCACGTCTTGTAAAGTGTCAGAATTAGCTTTCGTGACGTCGCTCAAGATCACGTGTCTTCGCAGACATTCCACTCGAAATATACTTGACCATTTGTGTTTGTAATACTCGCAATGGCTCGCATCCCAGTGGCTGGCTCAGTCTTATGGTTTTTATTGGTTTTTGCGGTGTTTCGGGAGCGTGGGTCCCACGCTAAAAATCGGTTTTACCGATGTTTTTGAAAGCCTACCTTCAAAATAACATCGGTAAAACGATGTTTTTGAAAGCCTACCTTCAAAAAACATAGGTAAAACCAATGTTATTGAAGGCCTACCTCTAAAAAACATCAGTAAAACCGATGTTTCGTGAGCCCATGCTCCGAAAACATCGCAAAAAAACAATAAAAAAAAACATGTCAGAAACCATGATTTTTGAAACTAGTGGCTGGGGTGGCCGGCCGAGTAGTTTCAGAAACCATAGTTACTATGTTTCTTATTGGTTTTTGCGGTGTTTCGGGATCGTGGGCTAAACCTTTAAGCCCTGTAGGCTATACGGTTAAGGTTTAAAGGTTTAGGGTTGAAAAGTTCAACAGTCAGCCCATAGAGTTTAAACCTTAAGGGTCCTAAACGCTTAACCTTTAAACCCTATAGGCCATAGGGTTAAGGTTGAAAGGCTTAGGGTTTAAGATTTTGGCATTAAAACACAACCCCATAGAGCTTAAGCCTTAAGGGTTTAAGGTTTCAGCATTGAAACGATAACCCTAAGCCCTTTAGGGTCAGAACCTTGAAGCCCTGTAGGGCTCTAAAACGTTAACAGGGTTTAACCCTATAGGCGTTGAATGTATAAATGCCCAGACATTACGCTCTCTTTAACCTTTCAGCCCTATAGGGTCTAAAGGCTTAGGGTATTTCTTAAGCCCTGAGGGTGTAAAACCTTAAGCCCTCAAGGTGGGCTTGGGTTTAAATGCCTAAATCTTGAACCCTAAACCTTTAAACCTTAACCCTATAGCCTATAGGGTTTAAAGGTTAAGCGTTTAGGCCCCTTAGGGTCTGAACTCTATAGGCTTACTTTTAAAACCTAAACCCTTAAACCTTGACCCTATAGCCTATAGGGTCTAAAGGTTAAGCGTTTAGGCCCCTTAAGGTTAAGGGTCCTAAACGCTTAACCTTTAAACCCTATAGGCCATAGGGTTAAGGTTGAAAGGCTTAGGGTTTAAGATTTTGGCATTAAAACACAAGCCCATAGAGCTTAAACCTTAAGGGGGGTCTAAAGGCTTAGGGTATTTCTTAAGCCCTGAGGGTTTAAAACCTTAAACCCTTAAGGTGGGCTTGGGTTTAAATGCCTAAATCTTGAATCCTAAACCTTTAAACCTTAACCCTATAGCCTATAGGGTTTAAAGGTTAAGCGTTTAGGCCCCTTAGGGTCTGAACTCGAGATCTATAGGCTTACTTTTAAAACCTAAACCCTTAAACCTTGACCCTATAGCCTATAGGGTCTAAAGGTTAAGCGTTTAGGCCCCTTAAGGTTAAGGGTCCTAAACGCTTAACCTTTAAACCCTATAGGCCATAGGGTTAAGGTTGAAAGGCTTAGGGTTTAAGATTTTGGCATTAAAACACAAGCCCATAGAGCTTAAACCTTAAGGGGGGTCCACAGGCTTAGGGTATTTCTTAAGCCCTGAGGTTTTAAAACCCTAAACCCTTAAGGTGGGCTTGGGTTTAAATGCCTAAATCTTGAATCCTAAACCTTTAAACCTTAACCCTATAGCCTATAGGGTTTAAAAGGTTAAGCGTTTAGGCCCCTTAGGGTCTGAACTCTATAGGCTTACTTTTAAAACCAAAACCCTTCAACCTTGACCCTATAGCCTATAGGGTCTAAAGGTTAAGCGTTGAGGCCCCTTAAGGCTTTAACTCTATGGGCCTGCTATTGAACTTAAACCCTAAACCATTCAACCTTAGCCCTATAGCCTATAGGGCTTAAAGGTTAAGTGTTTAGGCCCTGTACGCTAAGATTTACACTCGATGGGCTTAGGTTTAAATGCCTAAATCTTAAGGCCTAAACCTTCTAAGCCTTAACCCAAAAGGGTTTTACGGTTAAGGGTTCAGGTTTAAATGGCGGTTACATCTTCAACTTCACATCGCCTCCGGGCCCATGCAAGTATTCAACTTGATATCGCTAAATCATGAAAATACCTAGATCTTTGGGGGGGGGGGGGGGTAGCATATATATATATACATATAAGGACCCCAACAGGGACCACTGGACAACCACCGCGGAGCTACCCGTTACCAACCTGCTTGAGGGCGCGGTGGAAGTCTTCTAGCCGGAGAGTTTCCGTGCTTTGGAGCAAGTTGGATGCTGTGCCCATTGGCATCACCTGGGTATGCGTCGGCACAAAGTAAGGGGCTCGCAAAGGGCCTTATTCCGCAAAGAAGAGCCGGTGCAAGAGGGTGCAAGGGAGCCCTTCATTTCGGCAAGGCCCCACCTTGAGGAACGCGCCTTTTGCCTCAGCCCAGAAGGGTTCGAGCTCCGACCTGAGTCACTCACAGCCCCCACCTTCTCAATATATCAGGGCACGCAACGCAACCGGCGAGTGCTGCTACGGCAATGGAGACTCCGGTCCCTCTAAGAGCTCCTGGATGCTACGAGTACTGGTGTTTGCAGGGGCTCAGGTCCGGACCTTGCACACACTTTGGCTTCCGTGAGGTTCTGCAGCAGGGACAGCATGAGGGCCCCAGGGTCTTGCAACTGCTCCTGCAAGACGGAGGTCTCAATAGACGCATGGTTCGCTCCCCGGCTATGCAAGATTTGCAAAAGGCTGGAGATGGTGCACTATGGTGAGTTATGGTGCGAGGGTCTGTTCTCCGCTCCTGCAGTTTTCCGAAGGCTGTGCGGGGATCCAGGAAAAAGTCCTTCAGGTTCTTCGACGTCAGGGAATCCAGCATGGAAGGGATGTCAAGGTCGTGGCAGATGGCGGCGCTGGCGGGGAAGTCGATCGACTTCAAGAGCTCGGCCTGCAGCACCTCCTCCACGCTGATCAGCGCGGTCTTCAAGATCACCTCCTCCATGTCGCTGAATGATCGCAGCCGCTTTGCGACGTGCAGGAAGTCAAGGAGCTTCATCGCTGACAGCTTTGCCACTGCGGCGTCGTGGAGCTGTCTGGCTTCGCCACATTCGCCCACGAAGCCACCGATCACCTGCTCAAAGATCCGGATCAATGCTTGCTTTGCCTTGTCAAAGAATGGCTCCAACCCCTGCCTCAGTGCGCACTCAAGAGCAAAGCTTATGACAAGCAGGGACTTGCGGAATGCTGCCGCGAGGGTCCTTCATCTCCAGAGCAGGCTCGTTTTTTAGTGGCAGAGGTGCTGCAACTTAACCACCAACAAGCTGATAAACCTGCGTTTCTACTCATGTATATATGTATATATATATATATATATATGTATAAATGGTCACGCGCTCCGCGGCCCCACCCCTCGCCCCCCCATGGTCTGGAACCCCCCCCCCCTGTGGCCCTGTGGGGTGGGGGTTCTGGGTTTAGGGTTTAGGGTTTACGTTTAGGGTTTAGGGACAGTCGGCCCCCCCCCCCCCCCCCGCTACCTGACCATACCGTGGGGGGGGGCGGGGGGCCGGACACGCCAAACCGCCGGACCATATATATATATATATATATATATATATTTATTTATTTATTTATATTTATATTTATATTTATATTTATATATATATATATATATTTCTCTCTCTCTCTCTCTCTCTCTGCTCATGCTCAGGTATTGGCACGCGCTATCCATAACTCCTGCTTTGGTGCACACAGGTGTGGAGCACATGGCTTGCGAGCACGATCCCGCTGGGTCCAAAAGCCAGTGTTGGGCAAGGCTGGGCAAGGCTCTGGCTCCAGCTGCTGAGCTATTGCTACGGCCATGGGCCCCGGAAAGTAAAGCTAAGGCCGCGGCACCTCCGCATCGGTGATGTTCAGGAGCAAGAGCAGCAAGTTTGGGAAGAAGTGGGCGGGATCAGCCAAGTGCTCCTTCAGCGTGATGAGCAGCTGAGGGGAGGCTGTGAGTAGGCCACGAAGTCGGAGGACTTGAGCCGGGGACACCGGAGCTTTTGGGTCCAGTTCCAGTCCCTCGAGATTCCAGGAGAGGTTGGAGATGGCCAGGGTCAGGGCCAGGCCCACGTTCTCTTCCGCAAATGCTTGGAGGGCTTGCTGCACTTGCTTCGGGTTGCAGCAGAAGGTCCTGAGCTGCTCCAAGGTGAGTGGTTGGATGAGGTCCTGCACCGCAATCTTGGGGTCAGAGCCGAGCAAACCTTCCAGATCTAGCTGGAACGAGTCCTGCAGCTCATGCTCCATGCTGAAGAGGAGCCACTTCAGAACGTGAAGGAGCACATGGTCCAGGCAGGTGACTTCGGGGAGGGGCAGCATGTCCTGGAGCTGGACGCTGCCCAGACCTTGGCGGACCTTCATCAGGAATGGCGCGGGCTCGCCGTCCAGCGAAGCATCGAGGACGCGGACCAGGCACTGCCAAAGAGGTTCGAGGCGGGACCTCATCTGAAGGCAGACCGTGCAAGACCGTACCAGGAAGTCACAACCTGCCTATACGATAGTCTATAAGCCAAGATAACTCACTAGACACCCCTAAGATGGGGACTTTCCACGTAAGGCTCGGGCAGGTTCTCCTCGTGTGCGGCAACGATGCTGAAGAGCTTTGCCAGGCAGCTGCGTGGATCGCGTATCAACTCCACCGGCGGTTTGCCCTGCCGCGGGACCCATCAATTACCCGCCGCATGGTTCGCCCTCGACCGTTTTGCATGTTTTTTGTGTTTTGAACGCGGCTTCCCCATGCTTTTTTGGCACATTTTGCACGGGCATCCGGACCTGAAAAGAACGTGCTCCGTTTTTATGGACCAATGGATACACTCGTAACATGTACGTGATCATCGCTCGGCACCGAACCCCTCCAAGCCGAAACCATATGAACCTCCAAATTCATGCGTTACGATAATCCATGCGGTAGCATAAATTACCCACAAACCCTGCTTGGAGGTTTGGAGATGGTTGCGTCTGATAGCTGACAACTGCACGCGCTTGTGATACAATGTACACCATAAACATCCATAAGCCATTGATACGTAAGACAACTCTACTTGATGCTTGGGCCTGAGGCTATCCTTGATACTTCACCAAAATCTGCCCCAACAACTGTAGCAGTTCAGTAACCGACACGAGCCTCGAAATGTGCGAGAAAGTCACGGGCGACGCTGCGGCAGGCTTCCAAAGCGGCGCCTCTGACTTGGACCTGAAGCAGCAATGTAGTCAGGCTCGGAAAGTGAGACATCGAGGGTGCAAGATGCAAGCTATGTGCAAGCTGAGGGCAAGTGGGTGTTGGGCTTCTTATACTCCCCTTAGAACCTTAATATAAATATTGTTTTTAAAATATCCTCTTGGGTTTTACAATGTTTTACATAAACAAAAATAAAAAAAATAAATCCCGAGGGGGATATAGCTTCAGGGCCTGTGCAGCGCGCCCTCTCTGCGTGGCTGAGGCCCCGGCGTCGAGCCCGGCGCCGAGCTCCGCGAGCGCCAGGGCCATGAGGTCGTTGAGGACCATCTCCAAGTCGATGAGCCCTGACCTATTTTAGGGTTTAGGGTTTGGGGTTTAGGGTTTAGGGATACTGAACTTGGAACTCTAGCAAAAAAAATTGTGCTGTTTCTTGGGAATTCTAGTACCCAAAAAATAACAAGTATTTCCAAGAGCCCCTAAGTGACTCCGTGGCAGCAAGGAGGGCGGCTTGTGCCAGCAGCCGGCACATCTCCAGGCTGTTGCACCTGCGACTCTCACTGTTGGGCAGGATGAAGACTTTCTTTGTTGCGCGGAGAAGCCGGGGCAGGTCCAAGGATTCCAGCAACGGGACTGCGCCCTGAAGCCCAGTGCACCTGACAAAGTCCAGCGCCACTTCCCGGGCCCAACTCCAGAAAGGCTCGAGGAGGCTGGCTTCTTGCAGAGAGAGTTCGAGCAGATGCGGCACCAAGCTCGCCGGACTTCGGAGGAGCTCGCAGAGGTGCCGGAGGCCTCCTCTTCCTCCTCCGGCACCTCCCTGCTGGCCTTCCTTTGTGAAGAGCTGGGAGCCAACAACGTGGACGAGCATCGTCATGTGCTGGTCGCTCACGGGGCGTCCCAGCGCCTGCTCCAAGACTGGCTTCTGTCGCAGGAGCACCCATTGAAGGCTCAGGTTGCCTGCGCCGGCTGCGATGCTGCGGAGGTACCGCTCGGGATCCCTCAGAAGATCAAGCACGTCTGGTGAGCTTATCACCTCATCCAGGAACTCCCCGAACTGCGGGGAAGCCGCTGCCTCTGGGCACAGGTCTCGGGCGACCTTGCGGAGGGCCTCTGCAAGGATTTGCAAAGTGAGTTGGCGGAGGCTGGCCTCCAGTGACTTCTGCAAGCTCTGCGAGTCGATGCAGTCGAGATCCAATTCTTCCTCGAAGCGCTCGAGACCTGCTGCTAGGCAGGTTTCCACGCCTTCAAAGTCCGGGTCCTGGCAGGCGTGGAGCAGCGATGGCCCGACGCCGAGGTCGGCACCCAAAGCACAAGCCGATTGGCAGAGGTGGCGCCAAAGATCTTGCAGGGCCTCGTGGGGCAGCTCAGAGAGGAGTCCACGAAGGAGCCGGCAGAGCAAGCGCAGGAGCTGGCAGTTCGGCCCGCCCCCACCCGAGTATGCAGCGTGGGCGGCATCCTGCAAAAGATGGGCGAGACGGGGCGTCATGCGGAGGGCCTTCAGTGCGTGCGGGACGGAGTCGGGCAGAGGCAACGTGCTGCTCAGCAGAACAAGGCCGCGGTCAACGCAGAGGTGCCAGAGGCCGTTGGTGACAGAAGTCGGGAGGGCCTCTTGGAGTTGGAGATTGGCGAGTTTCGTCAGGAGAAGAGCAGGCTGCTCCAGGGACTCCAGGAGCTGCTCGGCGCTGCCCAGCTCTTCGATCAGGCAGGCGATGGTCAGGAAGTCTAACTGCTGCAGCCAAGTGCTGCAAGACTCCAGGAAGCCGCTACCAGTACTGTCGAATTCAGCCATTAGGCCCATTAGGCTCTGCAGCCTCTGCTTCAAGGCGACCTGCGACTGGCGCAAGAAGTCTACTCCCATCTCCTGCCAGTCGTTGCACTGCTCCTCGAGCTGTTGCGCGAGGTCCTGCAGCTTCGTGGAAGGAAGCGATCCGTTCAGCAGCAAGCCCAACGCCACAGGGAGCAGGCCAGAGACGGCCAGGCCTATAGGGTCCTGGGAGATTGGGAATGCTGTGAGCACCACGAAAAGAAGGGCGAAGAGGAGGAGCCCCACAATGCTCAGGCGCTTCAGTGTGCGCCAGATCGACAGGCTGTCGAGGCCCAGCTTCCGGATCAGCCGGTGGATCGCTTCCGCTCTCATCGCTTCTTGGAAGGCAAGGAAAGTTGGGAGATCGAGTACGGACGGCACCTGCTCGGACCCTGCAAGCTTTTGCAACATGAGGTTCTGCCGCTCTTTGGGGAGGAGCACCCGGTATACCAGTCGTGCCCGAGCTGTGCTGACGACAGGTCCTTCCCCGTCCCCAGGCTGCGCAAGAGCAAAGAAGAGGTCTGTGTCGGTGCCTTGGCCACCTTTGAGTCGCTCCAGGCTCTGCTCGTGCTCTGATCTGAGGGCGAGTGCAGCGATGGCAGCGCCGACGATGCGGAGCAGCACCTTGCCGGCGAGCTCATGCAGCTCAATGATCACCTGCTTCCGCAGCTGCAGAAAGAACCGGGCACGTCTGGTGATGAGCGCGGCAAAGCTGAAGATTGAGGCGACGAGCGGCACCATGCGCTGAGCATCAACCAGCAGGCCAACTAAAACCCACACAAGGACCAAGGTGGCATATGCGGCGGCCGCAGCCACCGAGACGGCACAGCACAACCAAGGCAAGATGTGGCTCAGCATCTGAGCCGCCAAGAGGCGCCTGCAAAGCCATGGCTGGATGTATCTACGCGAGAGACGCCTGCAGCGCACAAGCAGACGCCATGCGATCGAGAGACACGCGTGAAGCACATGCAGAAAGCGCGACGCTGGCCCAGGCTTCTTGTGAGTGGAGGCAGAGGGGGGGGCAGAGGGGGGGGCGGGGGGAGCCCTTGCACCGCTTTGCGAAGCAGGCTTTGCTGCATGAGGACTAGTTGGTCGTTGCGTGACGGCAGAGGCGTGGAGGGCGCGGGCTGCGGACCGCGCGGCGGCATCTGCCTGGAGGTGCAGGAAGGTGCAGGGAAGGGACGCAACAAAGTAGGAGTGCAGACAGCTGCAGAGGAGCAGCAAAGAGGAAGCACAGCACGAGGGGAAGAGGATCCAGCCCAGCGGCTCGGCCGCCATGAGCTGCCTTGGGAGTTCGGTGAATCGGGTGAGGTGCAGGCTGGACAAATGGTCGGCTGGCGACCAGGTGGCATATGGCTCCTCTGCTATGGCCAGGACCAAAGAGATAAGGCAGGGCCAGAAGCCGAAGGCAAAGCAAACAAACGCATGCACCAGGCCTGAAAACATGTCCACCAACAGCCAACCCGGCCGCAGCACGGGCAGCACGTACGGCAAATGCCTAGGCAGCCTCGCCTTGCCTGAACAAAATAGCTGTAAGGCTGCGGCTCTCCGTGCCACTGCACGAAGTGCCACAAGGTTGAGGTGACGTGGCCGTCGCGGCCGCGACTCCAGCATCGCTGCAGCGTGGCCGGGCCACGTGTCCATGCAACCCTCCCAACGCTCGCGCTCGGCTTCGAGGATGAGCTCCATCCCAAAGGCTCGCAATGCTTGGCGTGTCGACTCACTGGAGATGTCGAAGGCAGCCGGGTGGCGCGGTCGCGTTATGTCTTGGAAGCGACAGACAGCCTCAGTCAAGCAGCTGAGATCTGCGTGCGTTAGCCTTTGCCTGTGCACCTGTGAGTCCTGAGCCGCGACGGCTTGCCCACAGGATAAAACAGCACACGTGGACTGGAACACTTCGCTGGCCTTGGTGGCAAGCGCCGGCTTGTCATGGGACTGCAGGAGACGCAACACAAGATTCAAGGCATGGTCGCGAAGCTGCGGGTGAGGAAGATCAGCTGCGGCCACCTGCATCAAGCACGGGAGGGCACGAGCATGATCCAGCTCTGCCAGGCCATCAAGCAGAAGCAGGATACTCTGCCTGAGCTTCGCAGAGCCGAAGCACACTAATAAATCTGATGAAAGGCGCACGACCACTTCGCACAGCTGGTTTGCATGAAGATCAAAGCGTGCAACGCCTGCCTTGCAAAGGGCGGTCAAGGCACCTGCGGTAGCGGCCACCACGTACACATCTGCATCGATGAGAGCCTTACCCAGCTGCTCCACAGCCGGCGCAGCTGATGGGCCCAGCTGCCCCAGTGCTTCAGCAGCAGCCTGTCTCACCTTCACACGTGTATCGCTGAGAGCCTTACCCAGCTGCTCCACAGCCGGCGCAGCTGATGGGCCCAGCTGCCCCAGTGAACGAGCAGCAGCCTGTCTCACGTCCGCATCTGCATCTCTGAGAGCCTCACCTAGCTGCTCCACAGCCGGCGCAGCTGATGGGCCCAGCTGCCCCAGTGCTTCAGCAGCAGCCTGTCTCACTTGCCAAAGTGCATCGCTGAGAGCCTCACCCAGCTGCTCCACAGCCGGCGCAGCTGAAGGGCCCAGCTGCCCCAGTGAACGAGCAGCAGCCTGTCTCACGTCCTCATCTGCATCTCTGAGAGCCTCACCCAGCTGCTCCACAGCCGGCGCAGCTGATGGGCCCAGCTGCCCCAGTGAACGAGCAGCAGCCTGTCTCACGTACACATCTGCATCTCTGAGAGCCTCACCTAGCTGCTCCACTGATGGGCCCAGCTGACCCAGTGAACGAGCAGCAGCCTGTCTCACGTCCGCATCTGCATCGATGAGAGCCTCACCCAGCTGCTCCACAGCCGGCGCAGCTGATGGGCCCAGCTGCCCCAGTGCTTCAGCAGCAGCCCGTCTCACCTGCACACGTGTATCGCTGAGAGCCTTACCCAGCTGCTCCACAGCCGGCGCAGCTGATGGGCCCAGCTGCCCCAGTGAACGAGCAGCAGCCTGTCTCACGTCCGCATCTGCATCTCTGAGAGAAACCTCACCTAGCTGCTCCACAGCCGGCGCAGCTGATGGGCCCAGCTGCCCCAGTGCTTCAGCAGCAGCCTGTCTCACTTGCCAAAGTGCATCGCTGAGAGCCTCACCCAGCTGCTCCACAGCCGGCGCAGCTGAAGGGCCCAGCTGCCCCAGTGAACGAGCAGCAGCCTGTCTCACGTCCTCATCTGCATCTCTGAGAGCCTCACCCAGCTGCTCCACAGCCGGCGCAGCTGATGGGCCCAGCTGCCCCAGTGAACGAGCAGCAGCCTGTCTCACGTACACATCTGCATCTCTGAGAGCCTCACCTAGCTGCTCCACTGATGGGCCCAGCTGACCCAGTGAACGAGCAGCAGCCTGTCTCACGATGAGAGCCTCACCCAGCTGCTCCACAGCCGGCGCAGCTGATGGGCCCAGCTGCCCCAGTGCTTCAGCAGCAGCCTGTCTCACCTTCACACGTGTATCGCTGAGAGCCTTACCCAGCTGCTCCACAGCCGGCGCAGCTGATGGGCCCAGCTGCCCCAGTGAACGAGCAGCAGCCTGTCTCACGTCCGCATCTGCATCTCTGAGAGCCTCACCTAGCTGCTCCACAGCCGGCGCAGCTGATGGGCCCAGCTGCCCCAGTGCTTCAGCAGCAGCCTGTCTCACTTGCCAAAGTGCATCGCTGAGAAGCTTGCTCAGCCGAATCACCCGATAATCATCTTGTCCAGTGCACATGAGGTGGAACTCCATCCAGCGGATGGCTGGAGATGGATCACCAACTCCCGCATCAAGCTCCTCTCTTGCGCTCCAAGATTCATGCCGGGCTTGCTGAGTGGATCTGATCAAAACGCCCGGCATTGCCATCATTTCGGAGATGGGGCTTTCTGCACCTGACGCCGTCCAGGCGAGCAGCGCGGAAAGGCCGCTCCAAAAGCATGGTAGCTCTTTGAGAGTGCGCCACGCTCCAGCAGGTGAGAAAATGCTGCCCTTCACGGTGGATGCTGTGGATGGGCACCTGTAGCACAGCTGGCGCATGAGGAGCAGCACACCAAACCAAGCAGCTACACCGCCGCATGCTGCAATCAAGGAGCACAGTGCCACGCACAGGGGTGCCCACACACTGCTCAAGACATCCATGTCCAAGTAATGGGCTGCCCCTTCACTGGCCAGATGTGCTCGTTGCCATGGCCGACCGGGAGTTGGGATGAGCGCCAGCCGAGCTTGACTCTGTGACTCTGCAAGGACGAGAGGTGCAACCTCACCCATGGAGCTACACCCTTCGTACTGCAGCTCAACTGATGCGGGTGGCAACGGGAACAGCCCCGCAGACATCACCGCCAGCCACCATGGCTTCAAAACCTGAAGTGGCTCCCAAGGAAGATGCACGAGTGTCGTGGCGGCAGCTGGCTGTAGAAAGACAGTTTGCTCCTGTGGCCAATTTCGAAAGACGATAAAGTGGTCCCACTCTGCTGCTGCCAGCATCTCCAGAGTGCTATTGTGAAACACCCCTGCGACTTGTAAAGGGTGTTGATATTCTGCAACAGTTAGCCGGGTGCCCTGATGGAGCGTCGCATTGAGGAAGAGGGCGTTGCAAGCATGGTTGATCTGGCTAGCTCCCTCTAGGCATGTGAGGTTTGGACGGAGGCACTCTGCCGTGTCCGATGCCAAACTTCCCTGAAGGCGGACGTCCAAGTGTCCGCCATTGGCCTCAATGCTGATCGCCAGCGGCTGATAGCTAAGATCAAGTACCGCCCAGAGAGTGCTGGAGCAAGCGGACTGAAAGGTGAAATGCTGCGCACCGGACACATTCACTGCTGCATGCAGCCCAGTACAGGCTTCGTCCATGTCATCCTTAAGATGTTTGACATGCAAGGCTTCGAGAGCCGCATCGACACGAATCAGGCTCAGGCCAGTGGTTGTGACCCGCAATGTGTCGGATGCTCGAGGCCACAAGGCGATGTCGCATGCGTTGTAGGACGTGGACTTAACCCACACTCTTTTTAACTGGCCATGCATGATGTCCGAGGCGTCTAGGAGCGGAGCTTGTAGTGATCCCCACCTACGGATCATACCGAACCCGGCGTGCTGACACAGTGGGTCTGCACTGCAAGGACGCACTGTGAGTGTACAGGCGCTCATCAGCAAGGAAGCATCATGGCTGTAGTGGAAGAGTTCTTCATGGTAAGTGCTTATGTTGTAGGCCAGGATTTCCGGCCAGCGAGTGGCCAGCACAACCAGAGTGAGGGAAGAAAGACAAAAGAATGCGCGGAAACAGCGCCGAAGCCTAAGCTGCATGGCAGCTTGCTGCAGAAAGCCAGGCTCGCCTTGGTCCGCAATGGGCCCGTAGAAACATCTCCAGAGCATTATCTGACAGAAGCACCAAGACAAAGGCAGCCACACGGATTCTCCAACGGAAGCCAAGGTGGCAAGAAGTGCAAATCCTGTGTTTATGCACATGGACCAGCTTGCAAGCTCTTGTATGCGATTGAGGGCCAGATAGTTAGAAGGGCCAATGTATCTAGCGGCCAGCGCGAGGCCGACGGAAACAACGAGAAGGCCAAACATCTTGATGACGGCCCCAACCTCCCAGTCTTGCGACTCTGGAAGCACTGCCATCAGTCCAACAGCAAAGGCTTTCAGTGGCATCTCGACAAATTTAAAAGCGGGTGCTGAAGTGACCTTTGCCTGAACTGTATGATTTCCGAACTGTCCGCTAATTTCTACACGGTGGATCAATCCTAGAGCAAACACAGCGGGAAGATAGGACGCGATGAGGGCGCTTGATGCATAGCCCAGTGCAGCATGCCAGCCCGTCCAGCACAGGGTGCTGGGATCCGCCGCCAGTGTTTGAAAGCCTGTGTTCGCGTCTTCTCTGCAGACGATGAATCTCAAGAGGCAGCCCAGGAACGGCAGCAGTGAGGGGCTGCACACAGAATCAATGATGTCAAGACCGTCTGAAGTGTGATCAACCTTCTGTACTAGCCAGTCAACATTGATCCTGAACTTATTCTTAAGCCACACCCTCTTTTCAGGCGCATGCTTCAAGAATTTCAGAGACGCATAAAGTGGAAGTGCGGCAAGAAGCAAGAAGGCTATGACTAGAAGCCCGCCCAGCAGCAGCTCCAGCCCGCTGGCGAAGCCCATCCAGCTCGAAAGCCAATCGAGGGGCATGCGAAAGAGCTGCTTCACCATCGCTCGCACGGTGGGTGGGAGCTGGAGGCCGGGAAACCGCAGCACGAGTTCCGAGAAGGAGTACCAATCAAGCCCAACACCAACCAGCTTTAACGATAACACGGACCAAAGGCTCCACTGCACAACATCAAGTTGGCAGGTGGGAAGCAAGGACATGCGATTGATCTGGAACATCTTCAGCAGAGCTGCCGCTAAGACAAGCTCCGTCAGAAAGAGGGCAAGCAGGAGGACCCGGATTGACACAGAGCCCTGGGGGCCTGCATAAAAGGTTATGACCCAAGGGAATGCGATGGAACCACAACACCAGGTACAAAGGCAAGCTGCTACGTATGATGAGCTCCACTTGTCGCTGGTGGGGCTCTGGACTATCACCCAGGTCAAAGCAGGGGGCGCGAGGAGAAGGTAGGCGAAGGCCAGAAAGGGCGACAAAAGCGCGAGACACAGGCAGGCAGTTACGAAGGTCCACGTCAGGACGACGCCCCTCTGAGCCAGCTTGCCAAGTCGTGCAGTCCCGAGTCTGCGAAGCACCTCACCGTCTCTCTTTCGAGCTACAACACTGAGGGGTTTTAGGGGTTTTAGGGGCTTAGGGCTTTAGAGGTTTCAGGGGTTAAGGGTTTAGGGACACATCTTGTAAAACAGCACAGCACATCTCGGCTGCCGGCACATGCCAGTTCTGTGCATGCAAGAAACTTGCTGAACAGGCACCCCGTCTAAACGGCTCACATCATCTCTGCTTAGGGTTTAGGGTTTAGGGTTTAGGGTTTAGGGTTTAGGGTTTAGGGTTTAGGGTTTAGGGTTTAGGGTTTAGGGATGTTTCGAAAGTATGCGTACCGGCCTCATCCAACTCGTCCGGCTCATCTGGCTCCACATCTGCCTGGCAGCATGGTCGCACTGGCGCGCATGACTCTGCCGACAAAAAAAGGGGTTTTTGAACGTTAAAAAAAAAACATTTGGTTTTTTTGTTAGACCTTAAATGGTTTTTTTAACGTTTAAAAAAAAACATTGGGTTTTTCTTTAAAAAACCTTAAATGGGTTTTCGTAACGTTAAAAAAACCCTAGAAGCGGCTTGCAGACAGGAGCCCCGCCTCTGGCGTGACGTCCTCCACTATATCAACGGAGCTGTTCATGGTCCAGACTTTGCCTTCGCAAGAGTCTTTGGTTCTCACTGTTGGTTAGCAGGGAATGAGGGAATTAGATCCCCATGTATCCCCCTATGTCTACCCTTTAAGGGATTCTATTTGGGCAGTGGGCATAGAGCCTTGCAGCTTGGCAAAGACATGCGCATCTGATGGCCGATCCTCTGCTAGTTAAGATGTGGAATCTAAACCCTAAACAGGGTCTAAGCCCCGTTTGCAAGCGGACCCCTGCTTTGCCTCGTCCACGGTGCAATCGGGTCCGAAACTCAGCCTCCTAAGCCGATATCAGCCCGGAGTGCTATGATCGTCCCACTTCACGAAGCCGCCCGACTTGCCCCACGCCCACTCGAGATGTTGATTGTGGGGGGGGGGGCTCGTGACAAACCCTGGACGCGACAAGGACGAAAGCCGAACCTCTCTGGCCGAAGGTTCCCTAAACCCTAAACCCTAAACCCTAAACCCTAAACCCTAAACCTTGTTGAAGCAGCACGTGACATACTGGCGTCAGCCTCGCCGCGGTGATCTGCTGCCGCAAGCATGGCCACACAGACTAGGGACAGCATTGCCATTCCAGATGGCACAACATGTTCTGGTTCAGGGTTTAGGGTTGAGGGTTTAGGGTTCAGGGTTGAGGGTTGAGGGTTTAGGGTTTAGGGTTTAGGTTTAGGGTTTAGGGTTTAGGGTTGCATAAAAATCCCTCAACTTGAGCCCTCAACCCAATGTAGGGTCCCCCAAGTTGACGGCAAAGAAGCCAAGTCTTTGTACATGCCTCGTTCCATCTCAAACCACCACAACCTAAGCACAAAGCTGGTTAAGGGTTTAGGGTTGAGGGTTGAGGGTTGAGGGGTTGAGGGTTGAGAGTGCTGAGGCGGCGTCGGGCTCATGCTTGCAAAACACATCAGCCGGCCGAGACTTCGGAGCTCGACGACGCTTCTTCAGAAAGCCAAGCCCCATGTACGCGACTCTTCGATGAAGAAAACCCAGCAAGATGCCAAAAAATGGTGGACCTCTTTGCTCCACACCCAAGCTTCGGCCCAAGACCTGTTTGGGGGGTCATTTCGGATGGTTTTCGGGTCGGCTCTTGCCCGCGGATGTGCGGCGCGACCGTCAGATCAAGAGGCCTTCTCATTGTCACTCGATCTGCTTGGATGTGATAGAAAGCGAACTTGCCTGAATCGTGCCTGTCTGAGCCGGGGGTTTCAGCACCCTCTCGACACTGATGAAATGTGATGACACATGGTGCCCGCTTCTGCCCCCCCCCCACCCCCCCCCGCCCCCCACAACAAAAAAAAGAAGTAATAATAACAATAAAACACAAACAACTGGCCAGCCCTACCTGACCTTCAATGTAGCGGGGGGAGGGGTGGAGGGGGAAAGAGGCGTCTCAGGACAGATTTAGGGAGTTTCAGACGGCAGAAGGCCGCGGCTCGAAAAAAAAACAACACAAACGGGCAGAAAACGCTCTTCACACACTTACAAGGGAACAGTGCTTCAGTGCTTCAGGACTTCGACTCCGGTCTGAGACGCTGGGTGAACATGTCAGAAGTACATTCCCCAAACGATTGAAGGTGTTGATCAAAGACACGTTTGAAACTTTTGAAGATTTCTGGACTTCATGG